AGGATGACCAAAAAGTGATCTGACCATGATGAAATATTAATAGAAATGTCATCTGCTCCCGAGATAAAAACCAGATCAAGCATACAGGCACTGGTATGAGTTGGGTCAGTTTCAACTTGGGACAATTCTATGAACTCCTGGGTCATTCTGTCTCCCATAGCTAGGGCATGAAGATTAAAATCCTTTAGCACAAATAGCTGCGATCGTAAGCATCTCTCCTTTCAACATGATGTTGTATGCAAGTCTGTAAGAGACAGAGTCTGCGTTACAGACAAGTTTGGTCTTATGATTCCAGATAATGCATATGATAGAATGGGGGAAATTAATCACCAGACCAGAGATGAGACCAGGATTCCAGGAAATCCTATGATGTGAAAGTTCTATCTGTGAAGAATGCAGTTCAGTGGACTTACAGCTTCCTCTTCCCCATTACCAGCAACTATCCTATTGTCAGGATCCTATTGTTGTTGTTATCATCATCATCATTATTATCATATTCTATACTACATATAAGATATTTGGGAGGTTTACTACTTGGAAAGAAAGGATGTGTAATAAATAAAGTCCATGGTTTTGTGCAGGGCTTTTTTTCTCATAGAACGCCCAGAACGGAGTTCCGGCACCTTTTTTGGGTGGAACCTTGTAGGATAGGCAAGGTGGGTTGTATGACGTGTGTGAGTTCCGCCACCTTTTTTTTTTTTTTTTAGAAAAAAAAGCACTGGTTTCGTGAACCAAGGAGTAGCCTGCGTTACAACTTCATCTTCCATGTTAATACATCATCAGGCCAGGTAATGTGTAGTAGAATTTGAGAACCAGCACCAGCCCCAAACAGTTCCTTAAAAGAGGTTTTCACATATTTTAAAATGTGATTGGATTATCATGATTTTCAGAGATTCAGATTCTGATTGTAGATTAACATGCTAAATTCAATAGCCAGTTTAGAACAATGCTTTGAAACAAATATGTTTTATGTAAAACCCATTTTTTTCATTCATACATCAACCAATCAATAATCAATTGTACTACTGTGATGGAATGTGCATCTGGAGAAGGAAAAGGGGGAGGGAGTCTCAGCAAGACCCACACCATAGAATTGCTCAGGATATATCTAGTAGGTTAAAAGGTTATAGCTTTATTCTGGCAAGATTTTGTCTATTAAATGTATGCAAATAAAAAATTGACTTTGCACTTGGGCCTGACAGATACCCAATAGATTAGATTACATCCACAGTAACTGTAGTTTGTAAATTGTGGTTGATGGCTTATTGTGTCAAGTGTACCCACCAAATAAATCGTTAATAAACCATGATTTAATACAGTGCTTATCCCAAGTCATACTTTTTTTTGTATTTCATGTACTTCACTTGGTCTCTTAATTCTTGATCATTAACAGATGCTTCCAATTTGGGTTTATAGAGAAATTAGAATATATGGCTTGATTTATACAATGGAACGGCTCAAAATATTTTTTATTTCCTCATGGTTTGGGCAGTTATATAAACCTAGACACCTCTGATTTTTAATAAACTATTATTATATAAGATTTAATATCCTAAGTGAAAATGGCCTAGATTCATATATTATTTTGAATCATAAATTATGATGTACTGTAGAAATAACTGAACTGGTTAGAAAGAAATTAAAGGCAGCCTAATCCCAAATATCAAATATGTCATGCTGAAGTGTGCATAACCCTTAAATTTGTTTTAGTCTTAACTTGTTTTCCAAACTTGGGTTGATCATTATTTTAGGTTCAGAGAGATGAGAACTTGTGTTGTAGGTTACGTTTTGGTTAAAATTCTGGTTTGCAAAATCCCCATATGTAGGATTACCAGATCTGGCGTTCACAAATCCAAATGACCACTAGAAGGCACAAAGAAATGTAGAAAACTCTAACTCTACTGCCATCTAATGGTCATCCAGATTTTTGTGACTCAAATTTAGTGGGCCCTTCAGATTTAGATATCATAGGAAACTACTGTATAATGGTCATTGCAATAAACATCTTGAACCTTTTGGAAAATGCAATGGCTAAGATAGTTCCATTTTCTGATTAAATCCTTGTTGAACTCCCTGTGGAAAGGGAGTTCCCAAAATTTATAGGCAGTTTAATTACCAGACACTTGGTCAATATTGCCCTATCATATTGGAGGAATGCTGTGTTATGGTACGACACTATGATTTATGCCAATGGTGCTCCACCTATGCCTTGCCATAGACATATCAATACATGCAGTTCTTTCCCAATCAGGTGTGTGTTTGTTGGGTTAATTTTGCAAATTTCCCCCCATGATATCATTCTTCTCCAATCTAATGACTTTTAGAGTATTACTACTCCCAGAATTAAGATAATTCTGGAAGCTGCAGTTTCAAAATTCCTGGAGGGTATCAGATTGGAACTTGTAGCTAAAGTCTTACCATTGTGGCTCAGACTATTATCTCTTATGAGAAATCTTCTCCTTTAAATTTCAACCAATATACAGAATGTCTAAATATTTTTAGACGTCTTTAATGTTCAGATTTCCTACTGCCATGATACTATCTTGTCTTGCAATGAGGCCATTTAACTATTATACAGAAGATGCTATTATTGTTTAAGATGAGCTATATAAATAGTAGGTATCATGCTGATGCACACATGCCTTTAGAAAACAATTGGGAATTGTACTACTTTCCACAAGTCACACTTTCATAGTAGGCACTGTCTACTCTAAAGCATGCTTTTGGAAAATGTGTTTATTCTAGTTCAACTGGTCTGTACTAAAAGGGAATCAGAGTGGGCAGATAACAATAAACCACTGGTTTCCCCTGTCTTCAGTGGCATGCATTCCTCTGAACCATACATACAGTACACATTGTTTCACAGTGCCTTCCTTCTCTTACTCAGCAATTGCTCTAGACTCTCCCAGATCTCAGTGAAGTGAGTAACATCCCTTAAGGAAGACCTGATTACAATGTGAGACCTAAATCCAAGTGCAGGAATGCAGCCAAATGTGTGTTGCTTCACAAGGCACATGGCATTTAATGAAACTCTTGAGCAGACAGCATGGAATATATTAAAGTGGGAGTAAGCAACCTATGTTTAGACTACAATTCTTACATTCCCTTGTCATTAGCCAGGATGCTGCAGTTCATGGGAGCTCAGATCAAAAATATCCAGATACCCAGATGTTATTAGATTGGCTACCACATCACTCCACAGAGGATAAAATAGCTCCTCCATTTTCATTTATTTTTTAAAAAGGGAAGTTAGTATTCTCCAGATATGCTGAGTTCAACAATTCCTTCATTAACACATCAGGAAGCCACCAGGTTGAGGAAAGCTGCTTTTAAGACAATGCTATTGCCTAGGGCAGGGATCCCCAACCCCCAGTCCATGGACCAGTACTGCGCTGTGGCATGCCAGCAACCGGTCCACACAAACAAGCAAAGCCCCATCCCCGGGGTGCAGGCAGCACCCAAAACTATGCACCCTCTGGTCTGCAGAAAAATTGCTCTCCATGGAACCGGTGCCTGGTGCCCAAAAGGTTGGGGACCTCTGGCCTAGGGAGAGGGGGAAGCAAGTTTTGCTTGCAAACAAGGAAATAGCTGCTCAGCTTTTGATGAGATACAATTTGAAAATTCCATATAACACAGCTTACTCTTAAAGTAAGTACAGCTCCTGGTTTGTCTTTACATCAGCATTTCTCAACCTCAGCAACTTTAAGATAGTTGAATTTCAGCTCCCAGAATTCTCCAGCCACCATGTTTGGGTGATGTTGATGAAAGCTACTTTAGATTAAGAATAAATCCCTGAAAAGATCATTTTAAATATCACTTTCAGAGTAGCCAAATTAGCATAACACAGCATTTGATTCTATAAACCAGAAATTCATTTCTTCCAGGTGCACTACTACTCCACAATCACTTACTGTTTGATATTGGTCAGGATTATAGACATATGAAGTATAAAACACTTGGATGTTACAATACTGCTACCCAAAAGAGGGATGGATATGCAGATTTCTAGTTATGCTGTTACTTTCATTAACAGCCAGCCTGATGGGATTTGAAATCCAACAAATTCTGGAGGAGTGTATGATGCTCAAACCTGTTTAAGAGTGATAATGGAGATGCATCCCCTCTCCCATTTGAGTACTTTTTTGACAGCATGGATGGCAGCACAAAAGTATTAGATATGTGTGTGAATAGTGATCAAAAATATTATCAGTGATTTTTCAAAACAGGATGATGTTTGCTACTGTAAGGAGGAAAAATTCGGGAGAAAAGATAAAGAACGATTGCACTGGAGAAGGTCCACTCTTATTCTGAAAAAAATATCAGCGAACAAAAATTATTTTTTCATTTCATTACGATCTTTTGTCAACTCTACTTGGCACTCAGTTGTGGTGAAGGGGGACGAGCAGAGCTTCTTATCACACATCACGTTAAAACATCACGTTTTTCATGGATACTCCCTCTTTCCACTACGTTATGCTTAAGCTTCAACAACTCTCCGGCCAAACGGGAGCAAGAAAAATAATAAGCAAAGTCACTGCTTAAGGATGCAGCTTGACGAAAAGCTGCGCAAGCGCAAAAAAAAAAAAAAAGCTGTACGGGGAACTACAACTCCCTGCCACCCTTGCGTTCAAGTCCTGTAACGAAGCCCAGTGCAATGTGCCTGCTATTGCTGCAGCAGCAGTAGAAAGTGTGTCACTGGGACACGAGGCTCTCCCTAGGAGTCACATGGTGGATGTTCCTGAGCCGCGTGCTGGTGTCTGCGCAGCTGCAAGGAGAGAGTGAGCTTTGGCAGATTAACATTTTGCAGGCGAAGAGAGAGGCAGTGGCATAATCGAGCTCCGGCTGGCGTAAGAGAATCTTTGCACGGGCAGCCAAGCTCCAGTTCTTTCCCATCTAAGTGCCGATGCAAATTACGAAGTTTAAAGAAGCAAATCGCCATCATCCCGTGCAAGCATTGTAACATAACTTCGGGCGGGGGGGGGGGGAAAGAAAGAGGAGAGGAAGAGAGCAGTTCTTTGCTTTCCTCCCTCCTCACTAATCGAATCTCAACTTGCATCATCGCTTGATATGAATGACAACTATCAGCTGAACAGAATGGCGACTTTGGATGACAACAACAACGCTCCAGGTAAGCCCCTGCTTTTCATCTATCCGATTCCCACATCGATTTAATTTTCCCGTATTAAAAAAACGACGCTTTAACCCTCCTCATTCGCACATGTACTCTTGATACCTTTTGTGTGGGATAAAGCCCAGTCTCAGAGCTCATCCTCCTTCTCCGATACGTTTGGTTTGTGCAATAGCACCCCAGCTAATCGGAGTCTGTTTTATCAGAATAAACTGGAAGGATAGGAAGGGATCACACCTACCCAAATAGGGTGTTTATTTATGAAGAAGTTGCTTCTGAAGGAGTCTTTCCGAACTGCCATCCCACAGAATATACTTTGGGAAGTGGGAGGAAAGTCCGGAGGAAAATCGCTTAGATTCTCTCTTCTAGCCTGTTCCCATCTCCCGGTCAAAAATCATTAATTTGCCAGACGTGCACTGTGGCTCCCTCTTGGGGATCGGTAGAAAGGGGAGTAAAAATTTAAGTATCAGTTTTAAGGGAGGAGATCAACCTCCTCTTAATGAAAGTGTAGAGCCAAGCACTTGGGTCACTAATAGTCGCAGGCGGTGCCCTCTCTTGTCCTTTGAATTGAGGGGCAGATGGCGAATGAGGGCAGTCCGGAAGAAAAAGGAGCTGTTTTGCTTTCCTATTGCGGCTTACAATTATTTTTCAATGTAATTTCGTCTGAGAGAATCAGGAAATTCGTTATCTCCCTCGATATTCTCCCCGCGCCGCTGTGTCGCTCCCAGGGACCTTCCACCTCCCCCCACCAACGTTTGAAATCGCGTTGCCCCGCTCTGCAATCCCACCCTTCTTTGGGATTCCCCCAGTGTGGGTCTCACGTGTCCTCTGTTCGGACTCAGCCACGTGCAAAGTTTGTTTTCCTCACCGGCTCCGCCCCTACCACCCATTGGCCTATCCCGCCTCAATTACATCTGTAACCGCGCCTATTTTCAAACGTCATCATTCGGGAAGAAACGGTGCCCTGTCTCCTCCCTCCTGGGTGGGCCTTCTGATGGTCTTTGCTCGTGGGTGGAGGAGGAATTGGAACCAATGGAGGATGAGGGGAAGGGCAAAGCGTGAGGGGCGGAGCTGAGACAGAGAGGAGGGCAGGGGAACCATGTGAGAACGGGACACGTTGGGGAGACTCGTCCGACCTGCCAAGCTTATTGGCGCGTCTCCTATTCATTAAACTCAGTGAGGAACGGCGCTAGATCTGTGGGGCATATGAAAATTTTGGTTAAGTCATGAGGCCAGTCCGAATGCCAACTGCGTGAGTGGAACCTGCCTGTTTTCTGCATCTTGGGATGTACCCGAGATAAACTAAAAATTAAGTCATGCGAGCATCTCAACCCTTGAACCTCTTCATTTTATTCTGAGACTACTCTGTCCCTACCACCACCACTAACCGCACAGATGGCAGCCCCTAGCTAACCTTGATTCATTGTATAATCCAGGGGTACCCACCCCTGGTTGTGGACCAATACCGGGCCGCAGCATGCCAACAATTGGGCCGCACAAACAAGCAAAGCCCCATCCGTGGGATGCAGGCAGCACACAAAACCACGTATGCTCCGGTCTGTGGAAAAACCTCTCTCTATGTAACCGGTCCCTGGTGCCCAAAAGGTTGGGGACCTCTGGTATAATCAGCTGCTGTAAAACTGACAAGGAAAGTTTATGAACATAGCTGCAAGTAGCTGAACTTGATGCAAGATATGTTGCATTTGTTTTAAGGTAACTGTCATCACAATACAAGAGAAATAGGGTCATTGAGGGGACTTCCTGAGTTATCCATATTGCTGGATTGTAAATTTCTTTAGCAATGAAACCTACTGGGATTGGGGTTGTCCACACCCCATATAATTGCACTCATTTATATTCAGTATATTCGGGTTTGATTTCTTTCTGAAAGTGGTTTGTATATATGTATATATGTTTAATATTAATCTGTTATAATAAGTGATCAAATTCCCCTTTTCCTGCACATATATTTGTAGTGATGTCTTTATATCCAAAGAGCTCTTATGCAGTTTTATTGCAAGCTTTCCATTGAGTCTAATTCATACTAGTTTGTCCTCATGAAGAGAACAAATTGACAACTTCTACCTTTGTATCCAAGACTAACATGTTGGCACTGCTCCAATATTATCTATAGTCTCCATTTGGGTAGACTAGTGACATATATTACAAGCAGACATGACACACCTTTCCCTTCTTTAGACCCATTTGGAAGTTCTCCAGCTTGATGTGCTCGTAACTTTCAGTGCTGTCTTGTGCCTTCAAGCATTATTTATTCTTTATGACTCACCTGGGATGGTCTGTTTTAATATTCCTGGGAGGGACAGCTGCACATGTGCACAGCTTCCTCCACTGGGATTCCCTGCTCCACCCTTCATGGTGTGATCTGGCAGATTTTCAAACCCTGCTGCTTACCTGTTAAAAAAATAGAGAAGGAAGTGTGTTGTAAAGGAGAGAACAGGAGCGGAGGAGAAAAAAGGCCCTTGATCCTATGATTTGGCAGGAGTTCCCTTAGATTCAAATCAGAGACACGATGATGAAGATGTTTGCCTTAACCAGCCAAGGGAGTTTTGGCTGCTTTCCAGGTCTCTGCAACCTGGCAGTTCTTAATTCAACTAGACACTTAACTGAAACTATCTTCATCTTGTTTGTCCTTGATAACATTCCTGGTCATTATGCTTAAATTCAGAGATTGTCAAAAGTTTCAGATTAATACTGGGCTGCATGGCATTTGGAGCAGTCTAAACCAGGAATAGTGAAGTTGCTTTTGGGATGTTTGTTGTCTTTAAAGTTACTGAGAATTTCCTTTGGCTGCAGTAATTGGTGCTTTTTTTAAACAACAACAACAGAATTGGAAGGGACCTTGGAGGTCATCTAGTCCAACCCCCTGCTCAGGCAGGAAACCCTATACCATTTCAGACAAATGGCTGTCCAGTCTCTTCTTAAAAACTTCCAGTGTTGGAGCATTCACAGCTTCTGGAGGCAGGTTGTTCCACTGATAAATTGTTCCAACTGTCAGGAAATTTCTCCTTAGTTCTAGTTTGCTTCTCTCTTTGGTTAGTTTCCATCTGTTGCTTCTTGTTTTGCCTTCAGGTGCTTTGGAGAATAGCTTGACTCCCTCTTCTTTGTGGCAGCCCCTGAGATATTGGAACACTGCTATCGTGTCACCCCTAGTCCTTCTCTTCATTAAACTAGACATACCCAATTCCAGCAACCATTCCTTATATGTTTTAGCCTCCAGTCTCCAGTTTCTGATAAGGAATGTCATTCATAAGCCCCCCCCCCCCCCCCCCCCGTTTTGCAGCCTTCTGATATCAGTTGACACTTAGATTGCCATTTTTATTTTCTGCAGCTGCAAAAGGAAAAAAAGTCCTCTCATTTCCCCACTTACTCTCATTGAAACCTCATTTCTGCAGAACCAATGGCAAATTAGTGGATAAGCAGGTTGCCTCTGCCTCATTAAATATGGAGAAAAAGTCCCTTATAATGTAAGAGGTAGAAATGAATGAAAGGAGTCCCATTTGTGGAGCCCCTATTCTGATCTTCCTTGTTGTCTAAGAAGGTTAAGATCTAGATTAGAAGTTACAATTTCAACAGGATCAGGAAGCCAGTTTCCAGGTGCATTGAGAGTTAGAGGATACTTACTAGGATTTTTTTTTTACCTAATTGGTATTTGGGAGCATAAGGGAATGTCTCCTCTGTGTGTGTGTGTGTGTGTGTGTGTGTGTATAGGAATGCCTGAAATGAGTTTATATTATCCATAACACTAGAATTGGAGAGGGGGTGGTGGTGGATGTTTCAGATACAAGAAATTCAGTAATGCAGGCAGTACAGCAAATAAAAAAATAGATGCAACTTCTAAAATATGCCTAGGCATATTTATTTATTTATTTATTTAGGCAGTAAAGTACTACAGAGATTTTTTTTTCTGAAGAAGGATTCTTCACTAGTCCCAGTTTTGGATGGAAAATATTTTGTGGGGGCAGTTGGGGGGAAAGTATCTTTCATTATGATAATAAAAGAGTAGTACAAGGGTAGAAGACCTTAGCTAGGAGGTCTTGTCTTGCTTAAGGCTGGTGACTTCTTAACCTTTTTTGATGATATAGAGCAGCCAAACATAGGTAGCAAGTTCTAGCAGTTCAGCCTTCTCAAATGGGATGCATTTCAGGTATGTTGGGACTGCAGACCCAGAAATCCCTGCCAAGACCTCAGTTTGGGAAAGGCTAAATTAATTCATGCCCTTCCTCTTCCCTGTTGGCAAAGGAGAATGCCTTTGGATTGCCAGCCATAACTGCTATTGTTTCAGTTTCTCCTAAGCAAGTAGTCCCAGCTCTTGGGCTGCACCTTAATAACTGAGCTGGCAGAGATAAAACTTGGCAGTCCCAGTTAAGACTGCCTTGTTGTCAAAAGCCTACCTGGGCACCGAATGTGCTTCTCCAATGTGATCTTGTTTATAATCCTTCGGGCATGGATAATTTTGTTTTTGTTGCTCCAATATTCCTTGGCAGTAATACTTGCCTCCTGGCAAGTAGCCCAGTTCTGAAACCTTGAGTCTTTTTTTAATCACCAAGTTCCTAATTTAATTGGTCTTTTGGATGTGATGGATTTTTTAAAAGAAATAATTATTTTGGCTTCCACCTGTTTTTCAGTGAAATTTTGGCTGCCTGATTCACTGCTATAAATTGTTTGCTTCATCCTTTTCCATATCCCACCCCACCCCCATTTGCAGCTTACTATATAGGTCAACATCTGAAAGTAGAAAGAATTGGATTGCAAAATAAATAATTTTGGTGAGATGAGTTCAGAGTTTGCAGCTAGGAAATAAATTTTATAAAGTTTTATCCAGATGTGTTTGGGAAGAAAAGTCTGCCATACTGGGCTGCTTTGTTTTCCTGCTCTTAGTTTATTTACAGTAGTGCTGTTGTAATCCATCCTGGTCCAGTTTCTAGTACATGGACACTGTGTTCCCATTCACTGTTCTGCCACATCTTATGCAAGTTGATTGTCCATATTGTAAACTGATTCACTAATTGCCACTAATTGGGTATATGATGATACACACAAATAGTATGATATGAGAGGCATATAGGAAGGAAATAAATTTTGTAGTTGCAGATGATGAGAGTTGACATACCTTTCTTAAAGTAAATGTCTATGGAGATTCTCAGTCATCCAAGTCCTGGTTGTCTCAAAGGTGCTTTTTGAAGAGGCAACTGGACTTTCTTGTTTTTCTTTCCTTCCATTCCCCACCATCCAGTCAGAGCTGAGATGAGAAGGGAAATGTCTTCAAAGAAAAATAAGTCCAGTTGCCTTTTGAAAAAGCACCTTTGGGACTTTTTAAAAGTATAATGCTAGCTAGAGATGATTACCCTTGATAACCAAAAATGCTTCTGTATTTCAGGATGAATGCTTGAAACAGAGTTGATTCAGTAGATAAGAAGCAAGGAAAAACTCTCATAGAAATTTAAAGTTTGGAAGGTACCTAGAGGCCATCTAATCTAAATGCCTGTCTACTACAACAATCTTACTAAAAGCATCCTTGAATGGTGGGCACGTCAGTCCTCCAGACATTTGTTCATCTGGCTGAGATGGAATGTAAAGTATTCTCATGGAATTCTTGCCTTACGTATATGACTCAATAGATCTAGATTGCTAGCTGTATATGAAATAGGGAAGCAATTTAATCCCAAGCCAGTCCTCTGATGTATGTGGGAGGCTTTGTATTATTACCCTTAGCAGCTTGCTAAGTCTTCAGCTATTTGTTCACTAAGCATTTCTTGAACCACATTGCCTCTCTGCTAGTATAATAAATGAAATATTTTCTTTTCTCAGTTACATTCAGAAATGTACAATGTTCTTTTTTTAGTAGTGTTTTTCTAAGATAAAGTTCAGCATTTGGCAAAGTGTTTCTGTCTCTTCTCTTTCTCCTTTCCTTTTTCTTCTGCATTTCTAAAACCTGTTTCTTTGGTCACTCTTCCCTAATCTGAACTTTCCCAATGTGCAAGAATGGCCCTTCCCAGAATTCCCAGCCTGAATGGCTAGAGGTATTTTGGGAAATGCAGTCCTGACACATTTGGAAGTGCCAGGTGAGGAAAGGCTGTCTTATTCTGGAAGCCTACAAGACTTCTGTTTTTAAAACACAGTTACAATCATCTTAAATGAAAGTCCTCTTGAAAGGGTTTTATTTATTGGATATATGCCCTTTAAAATGTATGGACTTAAACTCCCAGAATTCCCCAGCCAGCATGTTGGGGGACTTTGGGTAACATTCAAGGGCCAGTTCTAAGGCAGGGCTTTTCAACCAGTGGTACGGGTACCACCTGTGGTACATTGGCACCTGCCAGGTGGTATGCGACCATCCTAGAAAAGTGGTAGCGGGGGAGGGGAATGAGCTGAACCGGTGGCAGCACGCAGCACCGCACAAGCCTGAGCGAGAGATGGCTGGAGCTGCAGGGCTGTCAGGGCTCAGCAGAAGCGCCAGGATCAGTGCCGCTTTCCAGCTGATCGGCGCTTCTTCGGGGCTGTCAGGGCTCAGTGGAAGCACCAGGATCAGCGCCAGGCTCCAGCTGGAGCTCGACGCTGATCCTGGTGCTTCTGCTGAGCCCTGAAGAAGCACCAATCAGTTGGAATGTTGCAGCATCTCCAGGGTCTTGTGATTTACATTCAGATGCTTGGCAACTGATTCATATTTATGACGGTCACAGTGTCCCAGGGTCATGTGAAGTGACCAAAACCTGCTGCAAGCACCCAGCAGACGGGGGGAATAAAAACCAAACACCCCCCACCCCACCCCTGCTGCCAATCCTCAACGGAAATGCTCACAACAATGAAAACCTTGGACAGGAGGAAGAGCACCGCCGGGCGCTGTCTTGCTCGGCTGTGGCTTGGGGGGCACTTTTTTCAGTGCCATTGTAACTTATAACAGTCACTAAGTGAACTGTTGTAAGTCGAGGACTACCTGTACTTTATCACTTTTTTCCTTTTTTGGGGGGGGTCATCAAGCTTTTGACACCTTGCTAGGCGACTGGTGGTACTCGGATGTTGCCATATCCTAAAAGTGGTACAATGGGTGAAAAGGTTGAAAAGCCCTGTTCTAAGGTGTTTAGAATTTTTAAGATCAATATCAGTACTTGAAATATGTGGTATGGTGGTGCAGTGGTTAGAATGCAGCATTGCAGGCTGACTCTGCCCACTGCCAGGAATTCAATCCTGATTGGCTCAAGTTTGACTCAGCCTTCCATCCTTCTGAGGTTGGTAAAATGAGGACCCAGATTGTTGGGGGCAAATATGCAGCAGTGTCAAACTGCCGGCCTGCAGGCCGGACGTGTCATGTGGAAGCCATGCCCACCCCATTGCTGGCAATGGCAAAACTCTCCCGATACATTGCGTGACGTCACGTGACATCGTGAGTTTGACATGTCTGGCCTTTAGAGAGTACTATAAAGCACCATGAAGCAGTATAGAAGTTCTATTACTATTGCTATTGAAATATGCCCACTAGAAGTATGTCAGGAGTATCACACAGGATCTGTTTCTTGTAACAGTATTCAGGTGCAGCATTTTGAGTCAGCATAGTTTTTGGAGCTTAGCAAGGAGAGGACATGTTGTAGTAGTCAAGGAGATATTGCAAAGGTGTGTAAAGTGCCAAGATTCTCTTCTTCACTGCACTGTTGATGAATCCAGTGGCAGCTGAGTATCAAACCTGTTCATTCAGTGGGAGAGCAACTGTATCTAAAACAGAACTCCAATTCACTGGTCCCTTTTTATGTCTGTCAACATCTTGGTTTTGTTGGATTTAATTTCAGTTTGTTTTCCTTAACCCACCACATGCTGTCTAGCATATGATGAGTTTCTTCTTTAAAAGATTTATGGTAACTTTTTGAGGTGAAGCAGTTGGAATTACATACTGTATTTTTTGGATTATTCTGTTCCACCGTTGACAGATTTACTCTGGAGGGTGAGAGATTACTATCTGTTGGCAATCCCATGTATCCTTAACTATGGGGTCAGGGTATAACCTCAGGTTCGGCTCCAAAAGATTTTTTGGCATATTGATGACCCTGGGATTAGTCTTCATAGCCCCAATTTTATATAGAATATCATAACAAGCAGCTGTTTTGAGGTGTGTCATATGGGGCCACATTCATACATGGATGCAATTCTAAGGATCTTTTGGTGATAGAACCCAGGTACTGTATAGCCCTCAGAATGCATGATCTAGATTATTATGATCAGTTGGAATTTATGAGCAGGGGATAGCAAGTAACTGATCCTGGGTACACTTTAAAAAAGAAGACTGAATCTATTTTAATTATGGGATGGAATACCACTAGAAAATCCCAGGGCTGTATACAAGGCTGAGAAATAGAAGAGATTGTGACAAACCATTTTTGTATTATTCTCAAAAGAACTATGTGAATATGTCAGAGTAGCTGCCAGCAGTCAAGCTTGATTCAATGGAATGTTTGCCATTTTGTTTATCTGAGAGAAAGGCTGCTCCAATATTTTAGTTTATTTTTGTCCGATATGAGCTCTACAGCTTCATGTTGTCAGGGGGATTACTTGCAACAGTGAAATCTAAAAATCTATCCTATTTCTAAGATGGTTAACAGTTTGTCAATCTTCACCTAGATGGCATATTAAAGACATCCAGTTACCTGACAGAAACAATCAATTGGGAGACTATGCAAGTGCTTTAGGGTAAGAGACTATCAGAATTTTTTTCTTTTTCTTTATGCAGGTGGTGTGATCAGTTACATTGGTTCAAATGGATCTTCCCCAAGTCGCACCAGTCCCATTTCTTTGTGTGGCAATGACAGTTTGAATGGCAGTTGCCAACTGTCGTCCCATCCAGCGTTTCCCAATTACTTCCCACCTTCGCCCACTGGATCTCTGGTGCAAGATTCTGGACGTCTCTACGGGGGTGGTTCGGCTGGACTTTGTGATGATGCCTCCCCATCGTCGTCTTCCTCCTCTTCCTACAGCTCTGGAGGTTCTCCAGTGGGACTCCAAGTGACCTTGGATGATGGGAGGCATGTCTCCCCTATCAAAAGCACCAGCAGCAGCATCACGAGTGAGTGATGAGCTGGAAAGCTGCGCTTTGGGGGATGGGATCTGATTGAGAATGCTGAGGTGAGCATGGATTTGGGAGTGAGTGTTGAGATGACCACATCTCACAGGGTAGTTGTGGGCTCACAGTTCCATCAACTACCGACTCTTTTGGCAGACTGGGATTCAGGTACTTCAGTTTGTCAGTGTTGCCTTTCTGACAACATTGATTCCAGCTGTGTTCCTCAAAACCAGCTATGTGCATCCAATGCTTTGAAAGCTCACCAATATTGAAGAGGCTGAAGCTGTAGCATTGTGAATCCAGTCTTCACACAAAGAATCTCATAGTCTTTGTCTCTCTCCTTCAGAACTCAATGGGATGGTCCTTCTATGTAAAGTTTGTGGTGATGTTGCTTCCGGCTTCCATTATGGCGTCCATGCCTGTGAAGGCTGCAAGGTAAAGTTTTTGATGTATATACAACAGAAACATGTTGGACTTCAAAATTCACCTGGCTTAAGATTGTGAGAAGGGGGTTACCTCAACATACTCAAGACTTTCCAATACTTTGAACAAGGAGAAAATATCTCTTTTCACATAAATGAATCTATGAGAATATCCTCTTTACAAGCCTTTGATTAGAGACTGAGACTTGCTTGTGGGCATAGTAGCACTTTTGAGCCTATTGTGCTGTAGAGATCGGGTCTATGTATTGCTCTTAGTGACATCAAACATTTATAGTGTGATTTGATTACTTATCTGCTCTTCTGATAGCTCTGTCTCTGAGTTAACTGCTTGAGACTCCCCATCCAAATGCAATGGTACTTAATAGTGCCATTCCAGCTGTATTATTTGGGGATAATGAAAATTATCAGCATTTCTAGATGGTATAGCTGCAAGAATGCCTTGGATGCTGACATGCAGCTAAGCAGGGTATAAGATTCCTCTGCAGTCAATTCTGCTTCAGCTATAAAAATATTTTAATACAAAGGCAATACAATGCACTGTTTTTAGAGATTCTTACTTGCAATTACTATGGAGAAAATATTTTTGTGTCAGACTATATGTAGGTAAATAGCAAATGTAGTTTTTTTCTCCTCTCAGATTTGCGCTATAGACTAGTGTTTCTGAACCTTAGCAACTTTAAGACTTTATTAAGCAACTTTCATTTTCAGCTTTCAATTTTCAGTTCCAATTTTCACCTTTCAATCAACATGGAGAATTTTGGGAGTTGAAATCCACCAGTCTTAAAGTTGCCATTGTTGAGATTGCTCTAGACATTTATAAGCTATTGAGGTTCCTACCCTCTTTTCCTAGGGCCAAACGTGTAACAGAATTGTTGCATGAAAAAAAAAATCCTCTTGAGAACATTTACACCAAAAGCACTTGCAGTTATATTTTGCTTCACAATCCCTGGTTAAAAATGCCTGTGTCTCACAACTGCAGGGTTTCTTTCGGCGCAGCATTCAGCAGAACATCCAATACAAAAAGTGCCTGAAAAACGAGACTTGCAGCATTGTCCGCATCAACCGGAATCGTTGCCAGCAGTGTCGCTTTAAGAAGTGTCTGAGGGTTGGCATGTCTCGTGATGGTGAGTTCCTGTGGCAGGAAATTAGAGTTCTCAGGAAGAGCAACAGTCCAGCCTTGTTTAAACCTTTTGGTGGGCTCTCTGGGTGATCTCCAAAGATACGATATTTACCTAAAGGGTAAATCATATACACTACAGTACAGAAGTTTTGGGTTGTGTTGCAACTGTAATTTTTCTGATCTACTCTTTGGGGCAGGTGTTCTTGACCCTGGAGAGCTCCTAAAAGGTCTTAATTAAAAAAAGTCTGAAGTTGGAAATGGCAAGAGATGGTGGGGAGAGAGGAGTGACAGAGTTGCTGTCTTTCTCCACTGGTGATGTACCTCCTGGAGATATTAGGATCAGGCTCTTGCATGGTGCACTTGGGCAGCATTGTTGAAGGGCTTGGGAAAGGTTATGTGGGGGTTGGGTTTTTTTTGGAGAGAACAAATATTTCAGTCTTGTGGAATTTCTTTGCTTGCTGGCATAGATTGTTCTCTAAAAGGACTAAGCACGGTTAGACCTGGTTAGTACTTGGATGGGAGGAAATCTCAGAAACGCATGTTGGAAAAATAAAATGGAAGCAATGGCAAACTACTTTGTATTGTTGCAATGATGAGAATGTATGCCACCTAACTCTAAACAATTTGATACGTGTAAAACCCCCAGATTTCCACTGATTAATTTATCCTGCTATTGTTTTATTTGTCACCAAAAGGGAAGGCATGTGTAGGCGCATAGGCTCTTTCCTGAATTCATCAATAGAAAGTCTTTGAAGATGACGTTTATCCCATTCCTGCTTCACTTCCTGGGCTTTTTGGAAGAGTTTTTGCTTCTAAGAAAAGCCATGGATTAGATTGCAGTGTTTAAATACCCACGTTGATCCTTGGATTCCACAGGAATATTTAATGTATTATCTTTTTTCTGTGTCCTGTGCAGCTGTACGATTTGGGCGCATCCCCAAGCGTGAGAAGCAAAGGATGCTGGCTGAGATGCAGAGTGCAATGAACATGGCTAATAACCAACTGAGCGCACAGTGCCTCCCTGAGAATCTGCCCACAGGACATCCACAGTCCAGTACTCTCTTGCTGGGCCATCAGCCTCAACTGGCACCTTCTTCCCCACCTTCCCGTGTAGCCTCCCCACCCCACACATTTCCTTGCTTCTCCCAGTTTTCTCAGCAGTTGACACCTCCACGATCCCCAAGCCCTGGAGATGTCATGGAGGATGTCATCGCACAAGTGGCTAAAGCCCACAAAGAGATTTTTGTTTATGCCCATGACAAACTGGCCACGGGGCCCCACCCACCCACAGGGAGTAACAGTTCTCCTAGTTGGGACAACAACTGGTTGATCAATGGCTATCACACCAGTGGGCTGCATCTTCAAAATGACAACTGGAACACTGGCTCTGCCTCTAGCCCTGCTTGTCACCAGAATATCAATGGACATAGGTTTTGTCTCTCTGGGGAAACAGACCTCTCCCTTAGGCAAGGCGAAACCAGAGTCTTGGTAAGTGTTACATTGCCATGGACCTTCTCATTTGCCTTTCAAATTCAGTTGTTGCTAAATTGTTTTTCGGCTGCTGCTGGTTGGGTTTGTGGCCGGAAAATCAAGTACTTCCCTGGGATGGGAATGAAATTCAAATCAAGAAAGTTATGTTCATCTTAGCTATTTGGTTAATTATTCACCATGTGATTGGGGTGTATTTTTATCTTCACTATTTTTATGTTCTGGATGCTTATTGTTTATTAAAATTAGGTTAGTTGTTCTGCTGGTGCCTTAAGAGAAGTTGCTGCTTATTTACCTTATTCATCTAAGGAAGAGGGTTTATTTTCGCTGTCTTTAAAGTTTGTTCTGCAGATGCAGATTTTCTTTTTATTTCATAAACTATCATGGATCCTTCAGCAAACGATAGCTGGAATATTTTTCTTAGAATAATAAATAATGCCCATCCATTTGGAGTAGTGTTCAATAACCTTTCAGAGCCTTTTGACCTCTGTCTGAGTGAAGGTCAGAGAATTTGCCCCATTAAAAACTGATTGGGGTGTGCAATCCGAGGTTGCCATTATATAAGAGGTATCTGCCCAAAATAATGGCAGGAGATGGATCATGCTGTTCAACTATATGCATGTAATGGAAGGAATGTGTGCATTGTAAATTCTCAGTATTTCACTGTGGTTGCACTGTAATCACTATGTGAAAGCTCAGTTTTCATGATTTTTTTTAAAAAAAATATGAGCAATAAGAAAATCAAAGTTTGCTAAAATTTTATTTTAAGAATGTACATCACAATTAGCAGGTAAGAAAACTTTTTTTCTTAGAGCTATGGAAAAAAATTATGCACACAGCCAGAAATGGTGCTTAGCAGTTTGTTTTTTTTTGCAGGCTTACCTATTTCCAACCACTTTAATCCATACCCTAGTTTGTCCTTACATGACTATTTCCCCTCCTAACAGGCGTGCCCAATGAATTATCATCCTCATGGTTACAGTGGCCGCACAGTTCAGGAGATTTGGGAGGATTTCTCACTGAGTTTTGTGTCAGCTGTACGAGAAGTTGTGGAATTTGCTAAACACATTCCGGGATTTCGGGAGCTGTCACAACATGACCAAGTCTCACTGCTCAAAGCTGGCACATTTGAGGTAGGAAAATTTCCACCTACAGTTTAAGATCCTCCTTAGTCACAAGCTATTGATATTCTGTGCTGGAAATACTTCTTCCCAGAAACCTACTTCGTATTTGTAAATAGTGCAGAGCAAACACAGAGCAGCAAGGTTGTTTTTAAATCCCATCACAAATTTCCATCTTTTTTTCTTTTAGTACCAAGAAAGCATTAGAAAGACATTGTGTGTTGACTTCTCTCTCAAATATAAACTAATTAGAAATAATTAAAAGATTGTTGTCAGAATGGTCTGCTTCTAGGAGACTGTAACCTAGTCACACCCAGAGCAAAATAAGTGCTTTGAAAACCAGGAAAAGAATTTGGCTGAAATTCTGACACATCGTTTTTGAGATCTTTGAAAAACAACCACCTTGTGATTTGATCCTTAGTATGTTGCAGCCTAACTTGAGGGATGATCGACATCATTTTTGCAAATTAATAGTGGAGAAAAGGATTAGGGCTAATCTTTGCCAACATGTCTGTAAGATATGGGATTATGTGTTTGGGCAATCTCAGCATCATCAAAAATTGTCCTTTTGTATCTTCATTACATTTAATGTATACTTAAAATGAGTGCCATTTGTGGCGCATCACAACCTTTGCATTTCCTATGGATACTACTGATCCTGATGTTACTATGCAGATGTTTTCCAATGTTAAGACATATTTATTGATATAAAGTCAAATTTTTATGACTTCAAAATAAAATTTAAGTCAACAGTTTGTAAAAATGTGCCAGGTATGTTTTACTGGAAATGTGGACATCTGTATACATAGTAGTGGAGAAAGCTAAAGATAAAGATAACTTCATGTTTTAGCCCATGGGATTGCCATATCTCTCAAGCTTATGCTATGATAGATAGATGAGAGTTTGCATTATATTCTTAAACTCATTGGCTTTGGAAGCATCTTGGAAGATTCTTGGCAGGAAACTCAAGTATTGTAAAATAGTGAGTTACATCCTAAAACTTGTATTCATGGAAAACTCAAGATGATTGTGAAGTAAGCTGTGTGTGTAAGCTTCATTTTTCTTCTTAAGTAGGCATATTGATGGGCTTTTTATAGCAGTGAAAGACATCAAGAGAATGTGATACAATAGATTCTTCATTTTGAGTCTGAACGTTGCCGTGGCATGAAAGGCACAAATTGCAATAATTATAATTACCCTTCCTAAATTGTAATTATAATCTCAAAATGTGGAAATGTTTCTGATGTCATTTTGGTGTTTGTTTTTTAAAAAAATTAAAAAGCACTTGACAAGTGTTTGTGGGAGCATACTTATATTCTGAAAATTCTTTATCTTTTCTCTCCAACCCCAGGTGCTAATGGTTCGGTTCGCCTCCCTTTTCAATGTCAAGGAGCAGACTATAACATTCACGAGTCACACAAAGTACAACCTTGAAGAGTTGTGGGGGATGGGCATGGATGACTTGTTAACATCCATGTTTGAGTTCAGTGAGAAGCTTAGTGCCTTGCAACTATCTGAAGAAGAACTGGGCCTCTTCACAGCAGTGGTGCTGATCTCTGCAGGCAAGTATCCCTTGATCCCAGTCCCAATATACAGACTTTCTAATTGTATCCTTTGCCCAGCGTAGCCTGTTCACATTTGTTTGCTGTCCCTGCCATACCTTGCCAGATTTCTTCACTATCCAAATGTAGCCCCCAGCTCCCTCACACAAATATTTTCTTTTAGTCCTTACCCTCCAAATACTAGAAACCTTGTAGGTGTATTCCTCTTTGATCCCATAACCTCTCCCTTCAACAGTATATTTTAGTGGTTTATGTCCTTGGGGACAAGACCTTTGTTTGTTGTGAAGTAAGATGCATGGTCATGGTTCTTTAGAAATCATAACCATGTTTCAAGGATTGTGATTTGCAGATCATCTCTGGCATGATTTTCTCTTACAATTGGGCATTCTTGTGACCTGAAGGGAGGCTAGACATTTCTGATAACTGCAGTCTGGACTCTGGTTTTATGTACTTCCTTTACAGCCTTGCTCCACAGTACTTATTGTCGATCCCTCTCTATGTAGATCGCTCAGGCATTGAGAACCCAGCATCAGTGGAGCAGCTACAGGAAACACTGATCCGGGCGCTGCGAGCCCTCATCCTCAAGAATCACCCCCAGGAAACATCCCGCTTTACTAAACTGCTCTTGAAACTGCCTGATTTACGCACCCTCAACATGCACTCTGAAAAGCTGCTCTCCTTCCGCATTGATGCTCAGTAGAAGATAGCGCAGGCAGAAATACTGCGAGTCCAGGCTCCTGACCAATTATCCTTGCTTTATTGCACTAACCAGACTATTTTGGGCCTGGATATAGCTATTTATGTGGGGGTAGCAGCTGCTCCTCCTGCCTGCTCAGAAATAAACAGCACAACCGCCTTTGTAAATACATCTGTGTATATTGGAACTGTGTGAAGAGAATATCCCTCTTCCTGGCTATGGTGCCAATTTCAGGAGAAAAATATAATGAAAGCAAACTGTCTGGATGGTTGTCTTCCTCTTTTTGTTCATTTCTTGCTCTCCTAAGTTGAAACTATGGTGGGGATTGGGATCAAGTGTGGCATGATCCTTTGGCTGCTACCAGAAGGAAAACAAGTCTTAGATATAGGCAGGTAACTGGAGCCCCATTTGTTTTTTCTAGGAAGGGTGATGTGGCATGAAGTCCTGTAAAAACCACTAGGTGAACAGGCTCACCTGCCTTATTGTTTCCTTAAAATGTTCCATCTTTTAAGTTTTCCTTTCTGGTGTAGGAGACCTATGAAACCCTTTGTGATAGATGCCACTTCCAGGCAAACTAATTTTGAAATAATACCCCGTTAGTAGGAATGCAAGAGAACTAAACCACCTTCTTTGAAATACTCCTGTCTAGCAAAAAGAAAAAGAAAAAAGGAATAAACCATCATCCATCCTCAGATTAAATTGAAATAAAATGAGGCAATGATGGCAGTTGGCCTCTTTTTCCACATCCTGAATTCTTGGTGAACTTTCTGTGTGTAGTGGAACTGAGGTTGTACTCGTTAAGGGAAGCTTGATGGGTAAAATGATAGAACAACTGTAGAACAATTTCAGCCCAACCCTGTACTCAGTTTTGGCAGTTAAAAGAAAGGATGTTATACCAGCCACCATTTACCAGAAATGAGACACCAAAAGTCAGTTGGGGCTGTGAGGTTTTTTTTGTCTTTGTTTAAGGGTAGGTTTGTTTGTTTTTTAATCATATATTTATTACATAAATATATAGTAAAATAGACCAGCAACAATTACCATAAAAATATCTTTCTTTAAATCCTGACCAAAAACACAAAAAGGGTTATTTTTTTCCCCTGCCCCAGACTTTTCAGGGTTATTTTTTTTTTTCAAAATCGCACGTCACAGACAAATTGTGATTGTCGTTATTTTTTTTACATCAGCAGCTTCCTGCTTCCCAGATGCAAAAAAGGAAAAGGAAAGGAAAGAAAAACAGAAACAGAAAAAAGAAAAGACAGTAAGGGAGAAGGGGGGAAAGCTGGTTTTTCTTTCCCTCTGAACTCTTCCCCCCAACCCCAACCTCCCCCCCTTCAGAAAACCCCATCTCCCAAATGTACATTCACTAACTCCCTGCTCACAGTTTCTTTCCCTGCTCTGGACTGCGAGGGAAAAACCACGATGCATAGTATATTGGGGTTTAAGTATAAAGTTAAGTACAAAGTTGTCTCCTTATTGGAAACTCCTTTCTATTCTCCCATAATCTTTGATGATAATCTGGATCCAAAATTAAAAAAAAACAAAACCTTTCAGAAAGAAAGACTGGCTGGGGGGGGTGTTAAGAAGATAGTGGGATATCATTTATAGGACTGCATGAGGTATGTGTTGGCAAAGAAATACTGAGAGGAGGTATGGGAATAATAATCAGTGTCTCTCTCCATGAACAAATCTATAATGTGAAAAAAAAAATCTACTTCTTACCCACAAATTTTCATAGTCATTAAGTGCCCCGCATGGATGGAGGAAGAAACTTAGGGGCATTGTGTCCTGAGAAGCAACACCTTTTACTACAGATTGCAAAGGATTTTGCTTCTCCAGGAAGGGTGGCTCCCACCCCCATAGAGGTGGCACAGCATACAAAAGAGGTGGGAGAGATACTGTGTTCCTTGCACTGAACTTTGGGCAAAATGTGAGCATGCCATGATAGGGAAGAATGACACCTGAGGTGGCAGAGTATCAAAGTATGAACTATTGTGGGAGGGATTCACACCCTGAGATCTTCGCATCACTTTAAGGATAAGTTATGACCTAGGCAGCAGCCTATGTACCCTCCTACCCCAGCTGACATAAGATGGGGGACACTGCCCTCTATAGGTAAGTGGGCACATGGGAGTAAAGTCAGAAGCCTCCTTTCTCCATTAGCAGCTTTCTTGTGTAGAGTGTCTTGCATATATAAATCTTTAGTACAAAGAGGGAAAAAGGAAATTCTACTTTTCTGCATTCAAACTCCATATGGAAAAGCTATTTCAGCTCCCCTTACAAGGTGGTGTTACGTATGTGCTGGTGATGGAGAGAAGAGTTTTAAATGAGGACTACAATCCAGGTCCTAAAAACACATTTACAGGTAGTCCTTGACTTATGATCATTTGAAGTTATGATGGTGTTGAAAAAAGTGAGTCATGACAGTCCTTGATCTTATAATCACTGCAGCATTTCTGCGTTCATGTAATCACAATTTTGGTTCTAGGCAACTAGCATGTATTTGTGATAGTTGCAGCATCCTGGGATCATGTAACCACCATGTGACCTTCCCAGCTAATTTGCGATAAGCAAAGTCAATGGGGGAAGTCAGATTTGCTTAACAGTTGAATAATTCAGGTAATGACAGCAGCAAAAAGGTCATGAAATCAAGTGTGACTCGCTTAATGACTGCATCACTTAGTGACACGCTTCAGTCCCAATTGTGGTCTTAAGTCGGGGACTACTGTGCCATTTTAGCTTAAGGGGGGTGCAAAATGCATTCATTCCACCACCAGCTGATGAAGTGGTGTTGCCCAGGCTGAAAAGGTTTACTTTGGCTATAATGTTTTAAGTAATCAAGTAATCCCTGTGAAAAAGGGGCTCTTGCCTTTTCCTTGTAAGATATAACCAAATGAAGTTGGCTGTTTTACAACATGCTATTACTTGATCATACTCCAAAGGTATGAATTGAAACTATAAAGAAACTTTGAATTAATCTAGTATTGTAAATTCTAGCTGAAGCGATAATCTGTGCTAGTTCATTCACAAACTATTGCTATCTAACCATGATATCTAACAAGCCACTATTATAGAAATGTCAACCGGATCATCATCATCCAAAGACTCATGGTCTCAAAAGATGAAAAATCATTTTCTTAATTTTAAATACCTCAGGCTGGCTTTCTATCTTAAAAAAAGAAACCAAAAGCTTAGTTTCTCAAATTATTAAAGGGAATACATAATTTAGCCAAATCACTTCAGCCTGCTAGGCAAGAACAATGAAGGGTTCATAGCTCTACACTGGGTGCTAAGCTGAAATCACAGAAATGTTTCTAATTGGACAGACCATCTCTCATACCTTTCAGAGTGTCATAGGGACAATTAAACACATCAACTAAAGTAGTATAATAATTAGCCAAGTCGAATAAACTAAAATAGCTGACATTTCTGCCTCTCCCTACACCTGCCTTCCATTTGAGACTTTGGCAGGAGGCTTTGCATGTATGTAGAGCAAACGTGTGCAAAGTGCAGATGGGGTTTAACACTTTGTATACATAGGATATCTGCACACAGTTGAAAGAACTATACTTATCAAATACATATGCTCTAGATGAAGTCAAGCAGGAAGTTCTGCACAAGCTCAGTGAAATGAATGAGTAGTCCCACTCATTTCAGGTAGTGTTTAGAAGCTGTTCCTTTTCAGTTCAACTACATGTATTATATATACACATAAATATGTTCAGGCTCCTTCATCCAAGGTCATATCATTTGTGACTATTTTCTCAGGACTATAAAGCCAATCTTACATCTTGAAGTTCAGTATGTGTGGGAAATTAATAAAGGAGAGTACCAAAATACTATTTTATAGAGGCTGCACTATTTGGTATAAGGCAATGAGGAATTATTATCCTGCCCCCTCCTTCCTGATAATCAGGGGCATCTTTACATGCTTTGTAGATTTCAAACATAAGATGTTCCAGTTACACCTTTTCAAGGCAGAACTAGTTTACAAGTTGGGTTATATATAAAATATTTACAGAATTACAAATGCTGAACAGACTGTTCACTTGATTGTTGTGTGAAAGTGTGTCCTTGCTGGCAACTTATACAGTATTATTAAGGCTTCTGGAAAGATGAGTATAGAAAACTAACATCAAGATGGGGTAGCACTGAGCCTCGAATGGTACTTCAGCTGCCCTGATGAGATGGGGGAATCTGAGACATTGGTGAAGTGAGGGCAAATTACAAACATGTTTGAGACAGAAACAAACAAGAATGAAGAAAATGGGGTAAGGTTACAGCAAGAAGGAAAATGTCTGCAAACATACAGAAACACATATATCTACATATAAGATATACCTCAACTCTGCCACAAATGCTTGGCAGAAATGTTTGAACCCAGAGAATAGGCAAGGCTCAGTACTTCTAGCTTTTAGATATATTCAGCCAGGCACAGCAAGAATTCTTAGTATGGGAGAGAACAAACCTGCCTATAAACAAGGAATACAAAACTGGCATGATAGAAGCAGAAAGACACTGTTGTGTGTATGAGATAGGGACCTTCTTTTCATAGAGAAGCAAATTTGTATTAGATATGTTTGTTACTTCTTAAGAATATTAAAATACATACAAAGTCTATTAACTCAAAACCACAAGATTGGACACCCATACATCTGAGGTAATTTACACTGCAGATTCACAAATCCCTCATTTACAGTATTACAAGTAAAACCTGCACATTTAGACACGAGCCAATGCTGATAGGGTGTTTGGGACACATCTGGGGTCACCATAAACCAGAGTGTATCTTTCTCATATATCAGGAAGATGTTTATGTAGGAACACCACCAATGATCAGAATAACAAACCCATTGAGATAACGAATATATGTGACCCTCAGCAGGGTCTCCTGGCAGCACTACAGTGCCTAAACTGTTTCATGGCTTGTGCCTTTGCTCAATCTACAAAAAGTGCAGAACAACCTGCCTTTGGATGGCACTCAATTTTTCTTATGCTGCGCAAATTAAAGAAAAAAGAAAAAATCCGTTAGGGCCCTGGGCTGCCAAAGATGATGATGCACCTTAAAGTACATATAGTACAGGGGGCAAGGCAAACTCAGCTCAACCCCCTCCCCTCCCAAAAGGAGGTAGGGTATTAATTCTAAATGAAAATGGGATTTGGAATAAGGTAATGACAGGAGGATTGTTTGAGATCTGTTTTTGAGCTTCTGGGTTAAGGGGTAAATTGCAAATTAGTTACACCTATGCAAACCTTTTCAGCCTGGCAAGAAGGGTTATAAGTGGCAAGAGAGCCAAGGTTTCTGCAGCCCTTCACAGGCAGCAGAAGTACGTATATAGGTAATCCTTGTTTAGCAATTGCCTCAGTTATGACAGTGATGAAAAAATTACGCAACTAATCTTTGCATTTACGACCTTTGCAGGTCTGTAAAGCAAAGGAAACTGGCATAAGATCGTAAGCACAATCAGTTTCACTTAGTAACTACTTCATTTAACAACCAAATTGCCAAGGGTAAATGAGGATTACCTGTAGCTCATTTTTCTGTTACCAAAATAAATGGCATTAGCCTCCAGAGGTTTTTTTTTTTTAAAAAAAAAGTATATGGCAGGATTTTGGGTAAGAACATGAAAGGCTGGCTGCTGAGGGAGAGTAGTAAGTCAAGAACTAGCACTAGAGAATAATGTTTGTTTTTCAGTGTGAGACTGTCCAGCTGGAACACCTTGATCTGTGGGGAGAGAAAGGAGGGAAGGAAAAGAGAATAAAGAGGCTGACCTTAGGCAAGAACGCCAAATGCACTGGAACAGTTTTTGGCAGACAGGTTGGGGAAGAAGATCTTAAAAATCATTATTCTAGGTCAAAATCAGCTTTTCATTTTTTTATGTATTGCTTATTCTAACCGA